CGGGCACCAGAACTCAAAGAAGATGAGCAGGTGAGCGCAAATTACGAACAAAACAGTATATAGTTTTATTTATGGGCTTTGATAGATGAAGAAAGGTTGAATTATTTTGGTGGCGCAGCCAAAAAATGAATCTTACACGTTGAAAATATGCCAGAATGTAGAAGAGATTGGTATAAGTTGTAATTTCAAGTAATCCCAAAAAGTAAATAACTGGTCATTTAAAACGGACGTGATTTTGTTTGTTCGCTCTGTGCCATTAGGAAAAATAATTTAAATTACCTGAAATGCCACCAAAGCATGGTTTCACATACATTTGTGCTGCATCAATTATCAGAAAGCTTAAAGAGTACAGAATGCTGAACTGGTTTGTTAAGTTTCAATAATTAACAAAATTGCTCTACTTGCATTCAAGTCGCTGTGCTCCAAAACTAGCATTCATGTCGCAAAACTCCAAAAACAAGTCGAATTTACTAAAAAGGCAGAACTTCAAGAAAATATTGAATGCACTGTTAAAATGGTCTTTTTCAATGGTGAGTTTGAAAGCAGTTTTATTTAAATGATTGCGCATCACTCCTAATTAGACGTAACGAGTAGTCTTCTTTGGGACATGTAACCGGAAGTGATTAATTTCATAACTTCTTTGATGAATAGTAAAACGAGTCCAGCAGTGCATATTAGGATAATGTCAAATGAAATCATTGGTAACTAAAACTTTGGAATATTTCTAGTAGTTTTGTAGTTATAATAATAAACGAAAAATATTGATTTGCGTTTTCTTTTCGTTAATTAAATTCTGACTTTCGGTGATTTCTGTAAGTACCCTACCCAAGGAACCAAGTTTTATAGATTTTAGGAGCTTTTGGATATAAAAATTCTGTCCTGTTGTCTTCTTGAAAACTCCATACTCGCTTTTTGATGACCTCACTACTTTTAAAAATGTGAGCATATTTACGTAAGTGTTATGTATATTAATACATCGTGACTTGATTCAATATTCATGGCTTGGTAATTTATTTATTTGACAGCCCATTAAATTGGTACTAATAATTCA